GATTGGACATCAGACAATTTATATGATGGAAGCATTAATCAACAAAATATTTACGCTTTAGAAATAACTAGCAAAGAGTTATAAAAACAAAAAAGGTCTGGTGTGCAAGGAAAATTAGTCAGGCTAAAGTTGTGAGATACAGAAAAATTGCATGAGGTGAAAAATTGCAAAGCTAACAAAATTACATGAGGTTAATATTTGCCACACTTTATCAACGATTCAAACAAAGTATTTACATGATGTTAAATTATGCCTTGATCCAAGTGATTAAGCTTACTTAAAACATTTAGCTTTGAGAGTTTATATCGTGAACTGTCCCCAGCTTTTCCCAAACAAACACATGATAAATAAACACAAAATGCATCCTTGTCGCCAGAAAATCCGTCTCGGTGATGTAATTTTCCACGTCGCGAGAAATACGTCTTTTGATGTCCGGATGATACTCGTAATTGCCTCAGTCCACGATATTATGAATTCCACCGCACTTTCCACGGTCCTTTTCCCAAAGGGGGCAACGTTAGGTTAATTAAACTCCCGTAAGTGAACTATTAGTAATCTTGTGTGAGGAATTACGAAATATTATAATGTAACACTTAAGTATAAACATTCAGAAACTTTATTTATAACTCGATAAACAAAGGATGAGTCCTTACTAAGTGAATCTCATAAAATCTCCTAGCTTTACTACTACTACTAACTTTTACCTTTCGCCGTTACGTTGCCGTTGACGTTGGGTTTTCAACCAATCAAATTACGGTAGTGTGCAGTGCTGCCAACTTGAAGGAAAATCCCCTGAATTAGGGGGGACATTTTTCTGGCTGACAGTACTAATTCCACGAAAATAAAATTTCGATAGAGATATTGAGGTCCACTAATATTAAGATTAAAATCACCTGTTCACCGACACCCTCATATTTTAAATAAGCTGCCACAATTTTCTACACTGTGGCTTTCTGTCAGTACTTATGCGTTGTTAAAGGTAGTTCTCGACGTTTAAATCAGCAAGATTTATTGCTATTCTGTTGTGTAGTCTCCTTTTCACAACAAGCAAGGTAAAACATGCTTAAAATGGTAAATTTTTGTAGGAAAGTATCGATTTTGCAATTAGGCTCCGCCCCTCGGTGTGACACCGAATGAAAAATCCATCACAATTGAGCTTGGGATGGATATGGGTGGGGCTTAATTTTTGGCTTGTTTTTTTTTATTAATACACATGGTATTCTTTAAACAGCATGATACTCAAAAACATGTGTTTGAAGGATTTTGCAATTAAGCTCCGCCCCCGTGGCTCACGACGAATAAAAAAAAATTACAAATGAGATAGGTCGGGTGGGTGTTTTACATTTTGCCTTTTTTCATGATATTTGTAGTCATCTTTTCACAACAAGAAATTTAAAACATGTTTAAAATGGTAAATTTGTACAAGGAAATATCGATTTTGTAATTACGCTCCGCCCCTTTTGGTGTTCTTTTTTAATAAAACATTTAGTTTTCTTTGTATAACACGATTACTTACGGTAATTAAGTAATTAATTCAGTCTTTTCTTAGCAAGTACTAGCCCCGCCCACCCACCCTCTATACTTTTGGAAGGTATGTCATTTGCCAAAATCTGTCTTATCTTGGCAATTAGTAACACCGCCCACCCCCACTCTTCTGATTCTAACGACTAATTTTATTTCTATCCAGTATAAAATCATTCATTTTAAAATCAATCACTGAAAAGGAGACAGGGTGGGTGGGCGGGGCTAATTAATTTCTTCTGTCGAGTGAGAGTGGAAACTAATAATAGAATCTAGGATGTGAAAACAGTAAAAATTTGTATTTTAACTACGAGTATTTTAGGTTAGGAATACACAAATCATACTGACGAATAGCGCTGAAGAAGGCTGAAATATAGGCCGAAACATGTGCGATATAATATAAATACAATTTTAATAAAAAGTGAAGAGCAAGCCGGTGACCTCTAAATCAATTAAGACGGATTTTGGCAAATTATATACCTTCCAAGAATATAGTGGGTGGGGCTAGTACTCGCTAAAATAAGACTGAATTTGACAAATGACATATCGGTTCACATTAGGTCAAGTCAGGTCAGGTGCATGAAATGAGAAGTAGTTTCCACCCCCACTCGACAGGAGAACATAATTATTAGTAGCCCCGCCCACCCACCCTCTCTCGTTTTCAGTTATTGATTTTATGCGATCTGTATGAAATGAATTATCTTATAATGAACAGAAATAAAATTAGTCGTTAGAATGAGAATGGAGGAGGAGAAGGGGGCGCTAGTAATTGCTAAGAGTGATTATGGCAAATGACATACCTTCCTAGAATATACTGGGTGGGTCGGCTGGGCTAGTACTTGCTAAGATAAGACTGAATTTGGCAAATGACGTATCTTCCAAAAATACAGAGGGTGGGTGGGCGGGGCTAGTACTTACTAAGATAAAACTGATTTTGTCAAATGACAAACCCACTAAGAAAATCGAGGGTAGGTGGGCGGGGCTACTATTTGATAAGATAAGATTATCATTGGCACTTTTGACATTTTCGACCAATTGTTTCAAGAATGTACTTTGTGGTTTTTATATATTTACAGAAATGTTTAAAATTTGTTTTTTTGGGACAATAGAGAAGTCAAGACAGGTCAGGTGCATGAAATACGAAGTACATTTTATAGCAAATAGTATAACAAAAAAAAAAAAATACGATTAGCACAGCGTTTTTTTTTTACTTTTTTCACATCCTAGATTCTATTATTAGTTTCCACCCCCACTCGATAGGAGAACATAATTATTAGTAATTACATGGTAATTTTTCGTAGAAAAAAAAACACATTTTACAATTAAGCTCCGCCCCTTGGCTTACAACGAATAAAAAAAATCATCAGAATGGCGATAGGGCGGGCGGGTGGGGCTTATATTTTGCTTTTTTGTTTCTTTATATACATAGCCATCTCTTCACAACAAGAAACGTAGAACATGGATTTTGCAATTATGGGGCGGAGCTTAATTCGAAAATCGATATTTCCTTACACAAATTGTCCATTTAAACATGTTTTAAGTTTCATGTTGTGAAAAGAAGTCTACACAAATTAAAACAAAAAGGCAAAATGTAAGCCCGCCCACCCGCCCTATCTCAATTGTGATGATTTTTTTTTATTCATCGTGAATCAAGAAACAGGAGCTTAACTGCAAAATTTTTATTTCTTTACAAAAAATTAAAAACATGTTTTTGAGTATTGTGTTGTACTAATAATAATATGTATATTAAGAAAAAAAGGCAAAATATAAACCCCGCCCACCCACCCCATCTCAATTGTGATAATTTTTTTATTCTTAGAAACCTATAACACGTTAAAAATCTAGCCGTCTCTAGCTCTGCGAACGAATGAAAACTTCATTACTATTTAGATCTCGATATTCAAAAACATGTGTTACAAGGTAATTGCTTATAGAGAAATAATAAGGATTTTGTAATTAAATTCTACTCCTTTGGCTCTTGTTGATAAAAAAAAAAATCATCACAATTGAGATAGGGTGGGTGGGCGGGGCTTATATTTTTGCTCTTTTTCTTAATATATGTAGTCGTCTTTTCAGAACAAGAAATTTAAAACCAGTTTAAGGAGGTAAATTCTTGTAAACAAATATGGATATTCCCCTTGATCTGACAATGAATGAAAAAAATCACAATTGAGAATTGCGATCGGGTGTGGCCTAATTTTTGGCTTCATTTTTTTTCTAAATATACATAATAGTATTTTTTGAACAACACGATACTCAAAAACATGTTTTTAATTGCTTGTAGAGAACTAAGGATTTTGCAGTTAAGCTCCACCCCCTTGGCTTACGACGAATAAAAAAAATCATCACAATTGAGATAGGGCGGGTGGGCGGGACTACATTTTTCCTTTCTTTCTTAATATATGTAGACTTATTTCGATACGAAGAAACTTAAAACATGTAAATTTTTGCGGTAATCAACTTAAATCCCCCCTTTTTCTTCTACAACCCCTTTAAATACGGCAAAAGTTGAACATCTAAGCTACTATCATCAGCAACTTGGCAACGGAGTTTATAAGTGACAATTTCAAGCTTTAACAGTGAGGAACAGCAACTGCAACGGGAACTTTAACGTCAGCAGCAAGTTTATAAATCCCAGTTAATGATTAAAATCCTAACATGAACTGTGAATTTACAAACAATAAATCAAATTTGCACTACGTGTTGGCGTCGGTCGAAAATTCGCATATTTCCGATTAGAAAAACAGCAACAATTAGTTACGCTTCTTGGGGAAACTGTGGCGTCGTCATCGATACGATTTTTTTTCGTAGTCAAAGGCTTCCCCTTTTTTTTTAAACTACCAAACCAACTAAACTTAATCTAGCTACCTTACCGCGTGCTTTCACTCACACCAAACAAACAAGCAAGCCAACTTCTCTACCAAACCAACCCTCTTACCAGATGCTATCCAGAAATTCCCTAGGAGAGCTACCAACTACCAGAAAAAAGAACTAAACTTGCACATGGTTGCCTATGTTCTAACGATTTTTTTAGTTATTTTTTTTTCAAATTCAAATTTGGTCACCACAGCGATAAGATCTGCATTGAAGTAGATGGAATCTGTCTGTCGGCACAACCTACATGGGACCATGACCTTAAAAAATACTGATTTTTGTGGAAAATTCTAAAAAAAATAAGCGAAACGAATTTGTGAAAATGGAAACAAAGCACAATTTAGCTTGTTAAGCCGCCAGATTATAGACAGCCCATCGTAACACAAATTGTAAGTTCTAAGAGACGACCTACGTAATTTGGTGCCACAATGAATGACGAAAATTATATCCCAAATCAAAAAAAAAAAAAAAATGTCACGGTGGAATCGAGGTTTGTCGGAACTTTGTCACACATGGTTTTATGAATTGCAAAAACTGTCATAGTCTACGATGTTGTTTCTCACCTAAATCGATTATTATTATTATTATTATTGTTTGTGTTTCAGGTTAACCGCCACCGGTTACTTCTGCTATTTGCGTTCAGTCCACCGCCTAGTCGCCGAACACTGGCACAACCTCCCCTTCCGTAACGAGCTCCTCAAGCTCAACCCCCAATACTTATCCCTGTTAGTCTTAGCCGCCTTCTTAATTTCCATGCTGTGGAAAGCCTACTGCATCGGCATCGTGTGGCGCTGCTACAAGTACCTCACCATCCGCCAGCACTCCCGCAACAACACCATCACCTACATCCTCCCCGGAGAGGGCTCCGACCGGTTACCCGAACCTGACTACTCCACTTTGCTCCGCGACCAAGAGGCCGCGTTCGCCGGCTACGCCAAGCAGACTCCACCTCCGTCCTACCAAGATATCATGGAAGATCAACCCCCACCATATCCCGCGGTCCTCGTAAGCGAGGTCCACATCCTGGCTCCCGGTACCTACGTGGTGGACGCCGTGCAACCTTCGCAGTCGGAAGAGTGCGACGAAGAGTGCAGAAATGCAGGATGCGCAGATTTGGGCAAGAGGTGCGAGGGGGAGGCTTGTGGTAAATAAGCCGTGGTAGAAGTAAGATAGTTCTAAGAGTATATTTCGCAAATATAATTTATTATCTTTCGTTGATTGGTTTTGATATGGAGATGTTTTGGGTATGACGATTACATTTTTCGATTTGAGTTCGTGTGTCTAGGGAATGATACCCTTGTATGAACGACGGCAGAATTTGTGCATTTTATAGACGGACGATTAATAGAGTTTATTTTTGGATGTGTTTACTCTTTGGTTTCTGTGCAATTATACTAATAGATATAGTTACATATACATCGTATTTAGATGACTGTAAGCGAGTTAGTGTGAGCCGTGACCAGTGAGCGGTTTGGAAGTTGCCGTGGTCACTTTACCTAGATTAATAATCTAAGACTCCATCGCTTGGAAAAGATCAGAGATGATCCCGGCGGTTTTCAGGAAGGTGATTTCACGTTTCTTAAAAGTCGCTTCTAGTTTTACTCTGATCGGTTCCCTAGGGCTCATAGGCGACGGACTACTTAGTATTCTATCAACTTTAACTACATTCCACGTTTGTTTGTGTAATAGAGCACCATAGCGACAATATTGTAATAGGTGTATTGTCAAAATTGAATATTGGTAACTTTCGCTCTTCTCTCTTTTATCCGCAAAGTTTCGGATGAAACGTCGGAAGGGCTGTTTAATGAATGTTCCCTACTCACTTCATATCCTATTTTCCTATTTCTAAACTATCAAGTGTTAAGATTAAGATTTATGTGACAATTCTCCCATTCTGACACGAAAGGAGCTAACAAAATGTATAATTTAAAGATGTTAAGTGCCACTGTTTTGATATTTGGTAGGGGTAAAATCTGAATATCGAAACGTGGTACACAGTTAATGTATAGTGTTTTTTTTATTTTCTTTTTTTAAACGAACGTCCAGACGATCCCGTTTGGAACGGATAGAGAAAGCTTTAAGTTTTTAGCAATTTTATTAGCGAGAGGGAAGTCTGGTTGCCGACGCAGCCTATGAATAGTCTATTTGTTTTTAATTTTATCTAAATCTGTAATTCGGATATAACCTTAGTAAAAAAATTAAAATGTTTGGAAGTTGTGGTTTTAGTAGCAGCACCTACCTACCACATACGATGGTTGCTTTTTCGCGAAAAAAAATTTTAATTGCACAGGGAGTTTTTTCAGATTTTTAGTTAGGACAAGTTGTCATTATTTTCACAAACGTCTAACATTTGTAGAAACCTCGGCGCTGGTTGATCAGTTTTGAGCAACACGTGGCTGTTAAATTCCATGGCCACTGCAAAATATTTTCAAATAAAATTGAGAATTGTCAATTTATATGTGGTTGAATTTGAGTAATGAACAGTGGATTACAATGTTTTCTGTACACCGTCAGGACAGCCTATGAAATATAATAAAACTTCAGTGCGCTTTTAAAATTCATGGAATGGCATCCAAAGAAGTCCGGCTCCTTGGAAACAATGCTGTTGGCGTATTTTCTGGAATTCTCACTGCTCCAATGAAAGGATCGACTGTGTGGGCACCACATTCCATACTTGGTAGTACATTGCGCACTAAAAACAGCGTGGGTGTTTCCAAATACTTGAAGTAAATTTAATTTTAACTGATTGAAATTCTTTACAGGAGTGCAAATTAATGGATCTCTAGAAAATGCCTTAACGAATTTTATTTGACAATAAATGATGTAAGTTAAATATACCCGTGTCTTGTTTCCTTTTCCATCTTAACTTCTCAGGTATTTCAAGTGTAAAACGGTTAAATTGACACAAAAGCATCTATCAAGTGTATATCGCCTTTGGATTGTTAAAAAAATACGATCTCGCTGTTTACATGGACCCGTCGAATGTCTCATATACTTGCAAGTACGAGAAATGTAGAACGATTAACTGAGATAACAAAGTTTATATCGTTGCCATCATATCTAGGCTGGTTTTTCCGCAAATTAGTTCAGATTTGTTATCAGTGATTTAACAGCCTTGTGATTATTGTTGAAACAAAATGTGGACATATTACTTAGTTTTATTAAATGGAAGTCCCTACGTATTTTTACATGGCCTAGTTGGACTCTAAAGATTTTACAAGCATATTTTCCTTCAGTTATTACTTCCAGAGTACCTTAATCATAATGAAGTATTGTAATCGAGTCCATAGGGCGACTGCTACTTTAATGTTTTCTCGACGTTTCATGACCCTAGAGTTCGAAAACATAGGTCTCCTGTGCTCCCCTCCTTTCCCCATTGATTATGTCATCTTACAATTTTGTCGAAAATGTTATTTAAATGTTAAACAAGTAACAAAGTCCTGAACTTGTGGTTTATGAGTTCGTGTTGATTTTTATCCTATAAATCGGGATTTTTGGAAAAAATACAAAGTTTAATAATTTTTCGATTTCGTTGATTTTTCAGTTTTTCATTCTTCAATTTTTCGATGTTTCAGTTTTGAGATTTTTTAATTTTTCGGTTTTTCAATTTTCCTGAATTTTTTGATTTATCGGTTTAGCATTTTTTCGATATTTGAGTTTTGGGATTTTTCAATACATATTTTTATTTTTCAACTTTTCAATGTCTTGTTTTTCAATTTTTCGACATTTTAGTGTTCGGATTTTTCAGATTTGCGATTTTTGAAATTTTTGGATTTCCCCATTTTCTATTTTTCGATGTTTCAGTTGAGATTTTTTAATTTTTCAATTTCCAGATTTTCGATTTTTCAGTTTTTTATTCTTCGATTTTTCATTTTCTTGAGTTTACAGATTTTCAATTTTTCGATATTTTAGTTTTGGAATTTTTCAAAATATCAATTCCTCAATTTTTGTTTTCGATTTCTCAATTTTCGGATATTTCAGTTTTTTCGATTTCTAAATGTTTCAACTTTTTAGGAATTTGATTTTTCAATTTTTCGATGTTTCAGTTTTGAGATTTTTTAATTTTGTGGTTTTTCAATTTTTCTTCAATTTGTCGATTTTTCAGTTTTTGATTCTTCAATTTTTTTATTTTTCATCATCTCGAGTTTACAGCTTTTTGGTTTCTAGATGTTTCGATTTTTCAGATTTTTGATCTTTCAATTTTTTGGACGTTTCAGTTTTGAGATTTTTTAATTTTTCGGTGTTTCAATTTTTCTTCGATTTTTCGATTTATCGATTTAGTAATTTTTCGATGTTTCAGTTTGGGATTTTTCACAAAACATTTCAATCTTTCAATTTCTAATTTTTTCAAATTTTCAATTTCTTGTTTTTCAGTTTTTCGAAATTTTACTTTTGGGATTTTTTAGTTTTGTGATTTTTCAAATTTTCGATTCTTCAATTTTTCTTCGATTTATTGATTTACAAATTTTTCGTTATTTCAGTTTTGAGATTTTTCAATACATATTTAAATTTTTCAATTGCCTGTTTTTCAGTTTTTCGATTCTTCACAATTTTTCAATTTCCAATTGTTTCGATTTTTCAGTTTTTTATTCTTCGATTTTTCATTTTCTTGAGTTTACAGATTTTCAATTTTTCTTCGATTTCTCGGTTTTTGTTTTTTCAATTTTTTGACGTTTCAGGTTTGAAATTTTTAAATTTTTCTTTTTTTCAATTTTTTTTCTTCAGTTCGATTTTTCGATTTAGTAATTTTTCGATCTTTCAGTTTGGGATGTTTCAATACATATTTCAATTTTTCAATATTTTAGTTTTGGGAGTTTTCAATTTTGCGATTTTTCAATTTTTTGATTCTTCGATTTATCCATTTAGTAATTTTTTGATATTTCAGTTTTGGGATTTTTCAATACATGTTTCAATTTTTCGATTCTTCAGTTTTGAATTTCCAAATGTATCGATTTTTCAAATTTATAATTTTTTAATCTTCCCATTTTCAATTTTTCTTCGATTTTTCGATATTTCAGTTTAGAATTTTTCAATACATTTTTAAGTTTTTAGATTTTTTAATTTTTCAATTTGTTATATCAAGTTTTGAGATTTTTCAAATTTCAAATTCTCAACTTTGTAGTTTTAGATTCTCAAATTTCTGATTATTCAGTTTACGATTTTTCAGTTTTTCGATTTCTTAATGTTCCGATTTTTCAGTTTTTTGATGTTTCAGTGTTGCGATTTTTTGATTTTTCGGTTTTTCAATTTTTCCTCGATTTTTCGATTTAGCAATTTCTCCATATTTTAGTTTTGGAATTTTTCAATACATATTTTTATTTTTCAATTTCTCGATTTTTCAACGTTTCAATGTCTTGTTTTTCAATTTTTCGAAATTATAGTTTTGGGATTTTTCAATTTTTCGATTTCCCCATTTTTTATTTTTTGATTTCTCAATTTTCCATGATTTCAGTTTTACGATTTTTCGGAGTTTTAACTTTTCAATTTTTCGCCGTCTCAGTTTTGAGATTTTATTTTTCGATTTTTCTTCGATTTTTCAATTTATCAATTTGGTAATTTTTCAATATTTTAGTTTGGGATTTTTCAATACATATTTCAATTTTTCAATATTTTAGTTTTGGGAGTTTTCAGTTTTGTAATTTTTCAATTTTTCGATTCTTTGAGTTATCCATTTAGCAATTTTTTGATATTTCAGTTTTGGGATTTTTCAATACATGATTTAAAATTTTCAATTTCTCGATTTTTTTAATTTTCAGTTTCTTGTTTTCCAATTTTTCGATTCTTCAGTTTTCAATTTCCAAATGTTTCGATTTTCAGATTTACTGTTTTTTTAATTTTTCGATGTTTCAGTTTTTGGATTTTTTAATTTTTCCATTTTTAATTTTTCTACGATTTTTCGATATTCCTGTTTAGGATTTTTCGATGCATTTTTCAATTTCTAGATTTTTCAACTTCTCGATTTGTTGTTTTTTCAATTTTTCGATATTTTAGTTTTGGGATTTTTCAATTATTTGGTTTCTAGATGTTTCGATTTTTCAATTTTTTGACGTTTCAGTTTTCAGATTTTTTTATTTTTCGATTTTTCAATTTTTCTTCGATTTTTCAATATATCGATTTGGTAATTTTTTGATATTTCAGTTTGGGATTTTTCAATACATATTTCAATTTTTCAAAATTTTGGTTTTGGGATTTTTCAATTTTGCGATTTTTCAATTTTTCGATTCTTCAATGTATCTATTCAGCAATTTTTTGATATTTCAGTTCGGGGATTTTTCAATACATGATTTCAATTTTTCAATTTCTCAATTTTTTTAATTTTCAATTCTTGTTTTCCAATTTTTCGATTCTTCAGATTTCAATTTCCAAATGTTTCGATTTTCAGATTTATTATTTTTTTTAATTTTTTGATGTTTCAATTTTTGGATTTTTTAATTTTTCCATTTTTAATTTTTCCACGATTTTTCGATATTCCAGTTTAGGATTTTTCGATGCATTTTTCAATTTCTAGATTTTTCAACTTCTCGATTTGTTGTTTTTTCAATTTTTCGATGTTTTAGTTTTGGGATTTTTCAATTTTTTAGTTTCTAGATGTTTCGATTTTTCGGAATTTAGTTTTCAGATTTTTTTATTTTTCGATTTTTCAATTTTTCTTCGATTTTTCAATATATCGATTTGGTAATTTTTCGATATTTCAGTTTGGGATTTTTCAATACATATTTCAATTTTTCAAAATTTTGGTTTTGGGATTTTTCAATTTTGCGATTTTTCAATTTTTCGATTCTTCAATGTATCCATTCAGCAATTTTTTGATATTTCAGTTCGGGGATTTTTCAATACATGATTTCAATTTTTCAATTTCTCGATTTTTTTAATTTTCAATTTCTTGTTTTCCAATTTTTCGATTCTTCAGTTTTCAATTTCCAAATGTTTGGATTTTTCAGATTTATTATTTTTTAATCTTTCGATGTTTCAGTTTTTGGATTTTTTAATTTTTCCATTTTTAATTTTTCTACGATTTTTCGATATTCCAGTTTAGGATTTTTCGATGCATTTTTCAATTTCTAGATTTTTCAATTTCTCAATTTGTTGTTTTTTCAATTTTTCGATATTTTAGTTTTGGGATTTTTCAATTTTTTGGGTTCTAGATGTTTCGATTTTTCAATTTTTCGACGTTTCAGTTTTCAGATTTTTTTATTGTTCGATTTTTCAATATATCGATTTGGTAATTTTTCGATATTTCAGTTTGGGATTTTTCAATACATATTTCAATTTTTCAAAATTTTGGTTTTGGGATTTTTCAATTTTGCGATTTTTCAATTTTTCGATTCTTCAATGTATCCATTTAGCAATTTTTTGATATTTTAGTTTGTGGATTTTTCAGTTTTTTGGTTTTTCAGATTTCCTATTTCCCCATTTTTCATTTTTCGATTCCTCAATTTTCCATAGTTTCAGTTTTACAATTTCTCTTTTTTTTTGGTTTCTAGATGTTTCGGTTTTTAAATTTTTTGACGTTTTTGAGATTTTTTTTATTTTCAAACTTTTCAAAAATTAAATCAAAAATCTGAAAAATACGAACGTTTGTATTTTCCAGATTTATGATTTTTAAATTTTTCGATGCTTCAGTTTTGGGATTTTTCAGTTTTTTGATTCTTCAATTTTTCGATATTTTAGTTTTGGGATTTTTCAAATTCTCAATTTCTCAACTTTGTAGGTTTTAGATTTTCAAATTTCCGATATTTCAGTTTACGATTTTTTAGTTTTTCGATGTTTCACTTTTGCGATTTTTTTGATTTTTCGGTTTTTCAATTTTTCCTCGATATTTTGATTTAGCAATTTCTCGATATCTCAGTTTTGGGATTTTTCAATACATATTTTTATTTTTCAACGTTTTAATGTCTTGTTTTTCAATTTTTCGTTATTTTAGTTTTGGAATTTTTCAATTTTTCGATTTCCCCATTTTTTATTTTTCGATTTCTCAATTTTCCATGATTTTAGTTTTACGATTTTTCATTTTTTTGGTTTCTAGATGTTTCGATTTTTCAGGTTTTTAACTTTTCAATTTTTCGACGTTTCAGTGTTGATATTTTTTAATTTTACGATATAGTAATTTTTCAATATTTCAGTTTGGGATTTTTCGATATTTTAGTTTTGGAATTTTTCAGTTTTGCGATTTTTCAATTTTTGAATTTTTCGATTTATCAATTTACTAATTTTTCGATATTTCAGTTTTGGGATTTTTTTAATACATATTTCAGTTTTTCAGTTTCTCGATTTTTCAACTTTTCACTATCTTGTTCTTCAGTTTTTCGATTCTTCAATTTTTCAATTTCCAAATATTTCGATTTTTCAGATTTATGCCTTTTTAATTTTTCGATGTTTCAGTTTTGAGATTATTCAAAATATATTTCGATTTTTTAAATTTTAGAGTTTTCGTTTTCTCGATTTTTCGGTTCTGTGATTTTTCAATTTCTTCATTTTTCCACTTTTTGGTTGTTTAATTTTTAGATTTTAAAAATTTCTGATTTTTCAATTTTTCGAGAAGCATTTTTCCTTTCCATATTATGCGCATTGCGGGAGCGTTATTTACGCCATTGGTTTTTGCATTTTAAAGATCATCGGAACACAAAAATCGCATTTTTTTATAATCTTTCAAAGAAGCGGGATTTGTTGGGTTGTACTTCAGAGGCGGGGGAAATTCTGTCAAAATAACCTTCGACCAGTGCATAGTTTCCCAAAAAATCACAGCAGGGCTATTTTTATTTTTGACATTATGTTGCAATATTTTATGGACAAAATTGAATCTTAGCATACAGAATGTTTCAACAACAAAACAACCATTTTCATTCGGTCAATTATAAATATTGACGTCGCGCAGGGTGGAAGTGAAATAAATTTAAAAAATAAGCAAAATTCGCCCGAAGTAGGCGAAGTCAAATGTAGCCCCTAACAACGTGGTCAATGACCACGTCCCACCGAAGGTCAACGAATTACATTCGGCAGTCACGACAACTACTGTGTACATGGATAATTTTTATGATGGAGTTTTTTTTTTGCTTGCAGTAATTGTGGTGTAAAGTGGGCCGATTTAAAAAGTGAAAAAAACAATTTATGATTAGTGCACTTAAGTAGTGTAACAAGACAGATAAGAAGATAACGTAAGTATACCATGATAAATTAAATGTGCCGGTACACAAACGTTGTGTAGTGGATGTTAATGTTTTTTTTGTGTTTTTAGTGGCAACGATAGGAATTTATTTATATTTAGAAACTTTTAGTCCAGTTTTAAACGTAAAAAATGTACTATTGCCCTTTTTAACGAAATTTGATATAGTGGTGTAGTACAAAATATTGTCTATTACCCAGAGTAGCTAATTATATATATAAATGAATAACTAGTAAAAAGCAGCGTTTTTTTCAAGAGGAACAAATAAAGCGCACACTTTTCTGTATTAATCAGGCTATTGAAAAACACACACCTTTTAGAAAATTATTTTATAGAGAAGCATAACAATAAATGAGAATGAATACTCTAGAATCTACTTTTTAACTATCTGGATGACATCTTCATCATGCATAATGTGGGAAGCTCCAACTCGTTGAGGTGAATACTTGGTGCTAGTACCCCAAACTAAGGCGTATTTAAATTGCTGAGCAAGATTCCTATGTATTGCGTGACAAACATGCTCCACGGTCACCCCCTTCCTGAGAATTAATCCATCACTAAAATCTGGAGGCTGCCCTGGTTTCTTCGTGTAAACCCTAATTAAATTCAAATATTCCCAGAGGATTATTAAGAGGTAGTCTAAATTGAGCTTCATGTTACAGCTACAACAGCAAACATTAAAATCCATCACTAACAATGAACTACCATTACCTGACCACAACACTATTAGGTTGCCTGGCTATTCTATCCACTTCTTCAATTGATATCTGATCAATCTTATTGTACACATAAAGGCAAGGAAGGTAAACGCGATTCGCACAAATAACATCAATAAGCTCATCGGCAGTGCAGTCTTCCCTGAATAGTACTTCAGCATTGAATATTTTGTATTCATGTAGGATCATTTGTACAAGTTTTTCGTCGATTTTTGTTAATGGACACGTGGAGTTGAAGGAAATGCCGCCTCCTTTTTTAATCTGAGACAACACTAAATTTAATTTTGCTCATACAAGCACTAGCAGTTACCTTAAAGTAAATGTTGGGTTTTCTCTTATTCAGCCGAATCCCCACACTCTCCAATTCTTTCTCTAATAAATGCCTATGCACGTCCTTCTTGGTTGCATCCAACATCATCAGCACCAAGTCTGCCGTTCTGGCTACTGCTATCACCTGCCGGCCTCTACCCTTTCCTTGCGCAGCGCCTTCAATAATCCCCGGTAGATCCAGCAACTGGATATTGGCACCATTGTAGTCAATCACTCCAGGAATGCACGTTAACGTGGTGAATTCATAAGACGCGGCTTCGCTTTCGGTTTTAGTTAGCGTTGACAAGAGGGTGGACTGCAAGTGTTTTATGAAAGTAACGATCGAGTTGAGTGTGAAGACTCACTTTTCCCACTGACGGGAATCCGATTAAGGCAACTCGAGCATCTCCACTCTTCAAGACATCAAAACCTTCACCTTTTTCCGATTTTTTGGAAGGTTCAAGTAACTGGGATCTGTATTTGGCTAGTTTGGCTTTCAAGAGCCCCAAGTGGTATTCGGTTGCTGCAAAAAGGGAAGCGGTACGGGGTGAAGGTTAAGTGATGTAATTACCTTTGTTTTTTTGTGTTCTTGATATTTCTTTTTCGATTTCTGATATTTTTTCCAAGATTCCCATTGTAGTGCACGTTACTCCGGCTTGTCAGGAGTTTGACAATCATTGGCAGGTTTGACAAGCGGAGGTACCACTTCACGCACCTGAAACCCCTAGATCGGAATGTCGATTTTTGGGTTTTGTTGCGGTCTGAATAACGCGAATTTCTGGTAGATGTTACTTTAGTCAAGAATTGTGACTTTTACTTCGATTTATTTGCGCTTTGTACGTCGGTGTAAATAATATAAAAAACGGAATTGTGTGGCGACATCTCGAGGGGGTCGTGCGACGTTTCGACAGAGCAATAAATCCGTCTGACAAACGACAATTGACAGGTAGCAGGACGCCATCTTGTCAGTTAGTTGTTTCGTGATTTAGGAGTGTGATTAAATCCAAATTGAAGCTGTATTTTAGTTATAGATACGAACATTGTCTGTGATTTTCTAATACATTCGTTCCAACTAGAGAAAAATGGGTCGCAAGAAGAAGAAGATGTCGAAACCGTGGTGCTGGTATCCTTTATGAAAACATCACAAAATTGTTTCTTCTCCCTCCTGTACCTCACAACCCGTTAAATTTAGCTTGTAGTGCGCCTATTTTTAGCGTAGATTTTCCTCAACCAAGTTTAGGTACTGCAACCGCGAGTTTGAAGACGAGAAGATCCTCATCCAACACCAAAAGGCAAAACACTTCAAATGCCACATATGTCATAAGAAACTGTACACAGGCCCCGGATTGTCAATACACTGCATGCAAGTCCACAAAGAAACGATCGACAAAGTTCCCAACTCGCTGCCCAACCGCACCAATATCGAGATAGAAATTTATGGAATGGAAGGTTCGTACCTAAACTCACCCAACCGCGACTACAATGCCCGTTTCAGGCATACCAGCGGCCGATCTGCGGGAGCACGAAAGACAGAGGCTCGGCAGCGTCTCGGGTACCATCTCTGGGTCCGACGACGAGGACGAGCCTGCTTCTAAACGGGTCAAACCTGAGGGCCTGCTGGGTAACGCTCCAGGTGTGATGTCCGGGATGCCGGGCGTGATGCAGGGGATGATCCCGCCGCCGGGCATGCCTCCAGGTCTTCCCATGGGCCCCATGATGTCGATGGGACCGATGGGGCCCCAATTCATGCATCCAGGGTAACACATTTTGTTGATTATTTTGCCGTTTGCTAATTGGGTTTGTAGGATGCCGATGATGCCTCCACATATGGCCATGATGCAGGGCCAAGGGGGCCCCGCTAAGCCGCTGTTTCCGAGTGCTATTCCGTGTTCGTCACCCGGAGCGTCAATAGTGGGTGCTGATTTTAAACCGATTTCGTCAGGTAAGGGCGCGGTTTGGAAGTGGGTTGTTGGAGTTATTTTTGGGGTTGCAGCGGCGACGATAAGTGCGCCACCTACAACAAACACTCCTAGTAGTAGTGACGGTGCTAAAGTTAACACGATAGCGACCACGGGGGCTACGAGTAAAATTATCCATCCGGCGGAGGATATTTCGCTGGAGGAGATCAAGAGTAGGCAGCCGAAGTATGCAAAGACTATTCCCACAAAGTCAGATGAGACTGCTTCGAGTTCAAGTACGACGGCGTCTGATGTAAGTTACGTGGAAATTGGTTCCTATTTTTGTTGATTTTTTAATGATTTATGGTTCGTGGTGGATGCTGTTATGAAACGAGAATTTCAAGTTTTGTTAAGCGGTTTGTGCAAATTTAAATTGGTCTAAACATAGCTAGAGGGGTCTTTGACAGTTAAGCGGTCATTCATTAGTAAATTTCCAGTGTATGAATCTAATTTGTTTCAAATCTTTTTCATTGTGTCTAAATAATTTTTATATTTTTTCAAAAATATTTACTTGATTTTGAGTTGCTTGTATACAGAATTGGCCTTCACTAAAATGTGTTTAATGTGGCTACACTTCTTGTTTACAGTTTGTAGGTGTTAAAAGTGGAAAACACCTATTTTCAAATTATAGAGTAAATAGTGTTCACCTTTTTTTGTGCAACAAGTTCTTTCTCTTAAAAAAAAATTAATCGTTTAGTAATTGTCTCCAAAAATCCTCCATTTTTTTGTTATTAAAACATGTTTTTACAATATTAATTTAATTTTTTATTTTGGTACATTAAATTGTTTTTTTTTCTGGATAATATCCAATGTTTGTTTAGATAATTCTTTTTTGTAATGTTTGGAGTAGAAAATCGTAGACAAGTACCAGACCAATTCTAAAAAAATATTTACGACGTCACTGGCTAATTTAACACCTTTGTGAATGTGTTTGGATGATTCATTTTGTTCTGTATTTTTTCATTTGGACGTTTCATTCGTTACCTAAATTTGAAAAGTAAACTCATGTAATTGTTTTAAGAGTCTTTGAATCACAAAAAAATGAGTTATTGAAGTAACGAAAAATTTTTATGTTTTTGTAACGTAACAAGATCAGAACGAAATTTAATGTTTTATTTAATTTTTTACTCATATATTATCTTCATTTTTCTCTAGTGTAAGTAAACTAGAGGCCACTTGGTGAATGATTAATTTTGTTTTTCGACGTTTGACAGCTTTTAGAACAGGAAATGTAGGTCCCTCGTTTTCGTCTGTTGCCTGTCATCTATTGGCGATTTTATTATACAGATAATTTCCGAACTGGTGGATAGATTTTTTCGAAATTTTAGATATGTATTAACAATATCGTGTACATAGTAAGATCGTGGATAAAATATATTTGATATTTTAATAAATCAATCCCATTTAAATTTTCAAAATAATACGCATCTGTACCTATGATTTAATAATCTTTTAATCTTGATTATTGGGGAAAAACGCAAAGTTGCACAACCAAATTTTACAATTGACACAAAACCGAGTGCTTTGAAATTTTCTAAACAAACCATTTAAAAAAATAAAAATATGTATGACTAAATCACAAACAGCATTTCATCCCGAAACATATTTCTTCTTATTTATTTAATAAATTTTGCGATGACGTAATTAACTTTACAGAGGAGACAAATTTGGTAGATTGTAAGACAAATCATAGAATTTGTTTTAAAAAATTGTATTTGTTTTCGATAATTCGTGTATATATCGTTAAAAATATGTATACGGTATAAACTACAAATGAAGATGTATCCAAAAAATTTTGCGATGGCGACGAAGTTTTTGGGAATGGAGGAACAGCTGAATTTTGATGAGCGATTTACCACGTCTACAAAAACCTTAAAATTTCAATTAACTGTACATTTTTTTTGGAACAATTTTTTTTTCCAAAAATTTACTTGTATAAGTTAAAATAAGGTAAACGACAAAAGACGGAAAGGGTGACCTATTACTAAAATGACAGTTCGCTGGGTGCTTCAGTTTTAGAAAGAATTTGAAAGCATGTAAAATATTGTGTAATACTTTTTTTTTTTCGAAAAATTACATGCGCAATAAGGCTTTGTTAATGAACCACAGGTATAGAAAAAAATTGTTTTGCGCATTTTAGATAGGATTTATTTAGCAAAATTTTGAGATGACAAAGTTTTTGCAATTTTGGCAAGATACTAACATACTAAAATGTATTATAATATTAAAACTGGTGCTTGTTCGTCTGTATGTTCCAACAGATTTAATGATTACAGGACGATTAAAATTCATTCATCTCCTGTGGAAGTTAATGACGTCATCGAAAATTTGTGTGAAATACAGATTTGTTAAATGTGCTTCATTATTATTTTATATGCACATTTTGAACAGTTATTGCATTAGTTTTGTTATTTTATTATTGTTTTTAAGTATTAATTTTTCTTGCTCTATTTTTAATGACAGTTTAAAGCATTTTTGACACATTTGACGTTTCTTAAAATTGAATAACTTTAATATTAAAAAATTATCGAATGAAAAATTTAGGAAGTATTCAAGAGAATGTATTGTGGGTTGCATAAATACAATTATTAAATCACGCAATTCGTGATTCACCTTGTATACCCTTTGTCATAAAAAATAAATATATAATTTCATAGGAGAGAGAAGGTGTGTTTAAATAATTTAGGTATATTTTTTGATGAAATATTATTACCTCAATTTGTGAAGTTACAACACTGTGCTGGTATGCAAGGCCAATGCATTTTGCAGCCCTGATGATTTTTTTTTTGTGTAATTAATTAAAAGTGGAATTTGATATGGACATAAAAACGTCATTTACCATATACCGTGAAGTGATAACATGTGCCAATTCCTTTTATGTTCAATTGAAGTCCCTGGGCTTCGCTAGAGTGCGAAAGAGGAAGTTTCGGTTTCACGCAAGAATTTAAAGCCGGATTATAAATACGCAAAACCACTTCCCAGATGTTGCAAGGCGGATATATTTACTCACATTTTACTCACTGCACTGTGTAAATATGAAATTTTGGGGGTCGCTTTGCGCAATTTAGTTTGATAAAAATACGCATTTGGTGGCGCAAATATGATTAAACTTTTGTGTATGTTTTAGTTGAACGATTAGTTGATTCTAAGAATAAAATTAGAAATCTATTTATACGCTTGCTAACACGTTAATTTTCTCTCATTCTTTTTGAATTTTATATTTGTCTGTCGTCTGTCATTTTGTTGGAGATTTTGTTAAGACAGATAATCTCTGAAACTAATGGATTAATTGTATTTTAAGAATATCCTGTAGAAGGTCGTCATCTAAAAATTTTGCTAAATAAATCATCATCTAAGAACCTCAAATTAATGTAGTTATGCATGTAGCTTTTTGAGAAAAAAATCGGAATTGTAGACTTTACAATTTATCTTAGAAACTTGGTAAATCGCTAATCTGAATTCATCTGTTCATCCCTTCCAAAAACCGAATGACGTCATGTTAAGTAAATTGTCCCTACTAAAAAGTTTAATAACGTCATCACAAAATTATTAAAAATACTCCAAATTTGTGTCTACTTATAACAGTTACCAGAAAAAAATAAAATTCGCATTGTCAAATTTTATGATTTATCTAGGAAACTGGAGTTGTTTGATTGATTGTACTTCAGGGGCGAGGGAAGTTCGGTGTAAATAACTTTCAGTTAGTCTATTTTTTACGTTGAAGGTTTAAGTTGTTTCGGCTTCAAAAACCATATTACAATTTTACTCTAACCTGTTGTACAGAGTGTTTTGATTTGAAATTTATTATTTTTCTTTTTTTTTTTAGATGGAACACGTGTATATGCAAAACTATGTAAGTTATAAAAGTTAATTAATAAGTAATCTTTCCTTGGGTACCTAGTTTGTGGATAGATATAATAGTAATTATTTTGCTACGAATATAAGAAGTGTAAGAACTACGCTTTTTTCAAAAATAATATTTACAAGATGACGACATAATAGCATTGATGTTATGACTTAGAGAGTGCAGCTACTACCCTAGGGGACTTGAAAAACAATATATTTTTTGTGAAATGCAAAGATTGTTTAAAAAAATCTGAAAACAAAATTCTTGGTTTTCTGTTTTGGAAACCAATCACGTCGACTTTAAATGTGTAAACTTTTGGCTTTTGGAACATCCCTGTTTCATTATCAATGGAGAAATGTCTACTTGTTTATATACAAATTTTAAGTTTTCAGGATTAATGTGGCGGTATGTAAAACAAAATGGCTATTATTAATTTTTTTATTGTTAATGTTAAATGACGTTTGTCTATTTCACCCAGATTTTTTCCTTTTCTGTATTCGTAATTAAAATTAATTGATTGTTAGTAATTACGAATTAGATCGTCTATAAATTTGCTCCAAACCGCAAAATACGTACTATATGCAAGAGAAATAAATAGTAGTGTGTGTAAATGTCGTTTAGGGTGCAGAATAATTCGATTTATTTGTATACTCAAGTATTTTATACACCAGGTTATGTACCTCACAAACCTATAGTTCTTTGGGCAGATTTGTATTATTGTAAAATATGTATGTCTGATGGTAAGCACACCCTTTTATCAATTTTTTTAAATGGAATACTCGGTATGTTTTTTTTATAAATGGAAAGCTTGCTTTTCTTACTACAAAAAATAAAATAGAAGCAATATTCTAAAATCACTAATTAAAGAGTTATTTTGCAAAATGAGTCAAAAACTATCAGTTTAATTCAAATCTAGTTGCTTGAAAAATATGTGTCAACGAACGCATATACCGGGTGTCTGGAAAATGGCGGATTAACTCTTCAATACGTTATGTGCGGGGGTTTCGGGAGTCCAAAAAAAATAATAAAAAAAAATTTATGATGTAGATTACGAAAAAAAAACGTAATTTTATGAAAGTAGAATTGGCAACACTGCACGCACCTAATGCGTGAATACTTTCGGCTTACTTTTTAATTTCTTAGTAATGATGATGACTGAAATCCACCTTTTATTTTTTTTAGGACAATAACCATGACAACAGTAGTCATTAAAAAAACAAGCTGTTATTTTCATTAATAAATAAATAAAAAAAAACATTTAATGAGACATTTATAAATTATAAACAAAAACAACAAAAGAAAAATCCATTAAAGCATAACCATCTAAACACTAGAGATTGTGCATATAAGTAAGCTCGTAATGTTTCCAAATTTTAATATTTTTTTGTAAAAGTTGGTTATCAATACTTGCTAAGATAAAACTGATGTTGGCAAATGACATACCCTCCAAGAAAAGAGAGGGTGGGTGGGCGGGGCTAGTATCTGTTAAAATGAGACTGATTTTTGCAAATCACATACCCTCTAACAAAAGAGAGGGTGGGTGGGCGGGGCTAGTACCTGCTAAGATAAGATGGATTTTGGCAGATGACATACTCTCTAAGAAAAGAGGGGGCTGGTGGGTGGGGCTGAAACTTTCAATTTTTGTCCAAACAGGAATACCTAGAACCTTAAGATTGTTTTAAATTTTCAAAAAAAAAAAAATTGTCCGCCATTTTCCAGACACCCGGTATATTTTTTCATAAGTAGTAATAAAGTTTAATAAAGAATTAATAGCAAATATTACCCAATACATAACTTAAACCGAATTTTGTGCGTTTCTATAGTTAATGACATTAAACAAAAAATTTTAAAAGCAAAAACTAAGTTTCATTAGTTGGTTAGGTACAATAATAATAATTATTATGGTGAAGTAGTGAGTGTTTTTGTTCCTGAACATGTTGTGGATGCTGCAAAAGCAGTGGAAGTCGGTTTGCTCCCAGAAAAATCTAAACGATTTTTAGCCAGCGAAGTGATTACAGTAGGGATATTAGACTTCTCCGCCTCCTCTCTGCGGGTTTACATAATCCCATAGCCACTTAGCTAGATAGACTACAGTGGACAAGGACCAAAATTTCCTGGCGTGATTACAGAAAATTTTGAATTCGAAACGAGAACTCTTGAGATAATATTTTAAATCATACACTAGATTGATTTTTTTGATACATTTATTACGGGCAGATTTTAGATGGGAATATTGACGGTTGAAAAATGGTCTATGACTAAAAATTAACAACGTTTGTGCCCGTTTAAATGACCAAATATCTTGTTAAAGAAGCATTAGAATCGAATCCATCGGGCGACTAGCCACTTTGATATTTTCTCGACGTTTCATGACCCCAAGAGTCTGTCGTCTGTCTATGTCAATTTTTATTCGATCAAAATAATCTCCGAAACTACCCATCCGATTCTTGTCAAACTTTACATGTAGGTGAGGAATATCGTGTAGATGGTAAAACGCTAATTAAATTTTGGATAATCGTCTCCATTTTTAGAAATGCTTATACAAGGTGACTCAAAAAAATTAAGTAATGAGGCGACATCTTTTATTATAAAAAAAATGTATATGGAAAAACGCTTTTTACCTGTACTTTAACAATCCACACATACATGTATTAATTTTAGCTCATAGGGATCATCATAAAAAAGAATAAAATTCTCAAAGTTACATTTTATAGTAGTTTCGGCAACACACTGTATATATCATCATAATAGAACAGATGCCTCATTATTACTTCTCCTCGCTGCTTGATTAATTAATTAATATTTAATGTTAATTTTTTTTTTGTCTACCACATCTTTTTTTAATGACACCCTATACACATTTTTTTTCTGAATTCATTGATATATCATTGGTGAAATTACTAACATATTTATCGTATACAAATCTAGTTACTTCATGCTAAAATATTTGTTAACAAGTTTGTGATTTTTTTTAGCTTTTGTTAATTGCCAACAGAAGTATTTAAATTTGAAAATTAAAATTCTTCTACACGAAAGTAATAATTAAATAGAAAATTTAATTGCAAATGTCAAGATGTGCTGTCAAAAAAATTGAGGTTAGGATGGTTATGGTTTTCATTCAAAACATGTTGTTTTTATTTATATTATTTTGACATTTTTGACAATTTTAAATTTTAAGTTTTTTCTACTACCAACTTACCAGTGTAAAAATAAGCTCTAGAGGAGTTTTATTTGATGTCAACTTAATTCAACAGGTGGTGGTATTCTAATTTTTGAAAAAACAGTACATCAGAGAGTTAAAAAAGGTTTTGATATACCGTTCAGGATGGTTTTAGGCAAAGGTAGGCTATGCAAATCTAGTAATTTAGTTGCCAACCTATTTCGTTTATGCAAAGATCCCTAACGAAAAATGAAATTTAACATATTAGGTTAAGTTAACACTGTTGCCAGTAGAAATTTAAAATTCACATTTACGCCCACCCACCCTCTATTTTCTTAGCGGCTATGTCATTTGCCAGAATCGATCTTATCTTAGCAGGTACTGAAGAGTTAATCCGCCATTTTCCAGACACCCGGTATAATTTTGAAGCAACGTCGTTGATGAGATGATTAGGCAAAGTTTTACCATCTACATGACATTCATAATATTCATATAAAATTCGCAACAATCAGTCCAATGGATCATCGGTCTAACAAAAATCCACACGGACGGCGGACAGACAGAAAGACAGATAGACAGACGGTAACCGGATACCTATGTTTGTGTAGTCTAGGGGTTATGCCACATTGAGAAAATATAAAAGTAGCCATGGACTCGAATAAAATACTTTGATACGTATACTAAAAATATACTGGGCGTTCCCTTAAAAAAAATAAAGTTGTTTTAGTACTTTTAGTACCGATCAAACTCCATTTGTATGTATTTTGAAAGAATACATACAAATATTATTTGTATGTATTCTTTACAATGTTTTAAAAATATATAAAATCAGTGAGTATAGATGTTTCGACTTCTGAATTTTTCGATTTCTTATTTTTTGATTTTTTGATGTTTGGATTTCTCGAGTTTTCAATTTTACGATATTGTAATTGTTCATTGTTTTAAATTTTTGATTTTTCGATTTCTCGATTATTTATTTTTCGGTTCTTCAGTACATATTTCTATTTCTCAATTTTTCCATTTTTTTTAAATTTGACAATTTTTAATATTTCTTTCAGTTTTGGGAATTTTCAATATTTCGTTTCTTCGAATTTTTCCACTTTTCGATTTTTTATTTTTTGATTTTTTAAACTTTGGATTTTTCAGTTTTTCGACTGTTTTATATTTCGATTTCTCAATTTTTAACTTCTCGATATCGTAATTTTTCATTTTTAAAATTCTAGATTTTTCGATTTCTCGAGTCCTCAGTTCTTCTATATTTTAATTTTTTTATTTTCCCAATTTTTAAATTTTCGATTTTTCAATTTTTGAGATTTCGATTTATCAATTTTTCCATTTTTAACTTTTCGATTTTGGCCTATTTCGGTTTCTCAATTGTTCGATTTTTCGACTTGTCGATTTTTTGATTGTTTGATTTTTTTTTTATTTTTTGATTTTAAGATTTCTCCATTTTTCAATTTTACGATATTTTAATTTTTCAATGTTTCAAATTTTAGATTTTTCGATTTTTCAGTTCTTCAATGTTTTTTAATTTTTCAAATTTTGACGTTTCGGAATTTTCAGATTTCCGATTTCTCAATTAATCTACTTTTTGATTTTCCAAAGTCTCGATCTTTCAGTTTTTCAGTTCTTCAATTTTTCGATTTTTCAGATTTTTGATTTCTCCATTTTTCAATTCTTTAACTTCCTAATTTTTGAATATTTTGTTCAATTTTGTGATTTTTCAGTTTTTCGACTTTTAGTATTTCGACTTTTCGATTTTTCTACTTTTTACGGTTTGGATTTTCAATTTTTCGTTTTTTAAACTTTCTATTTTTCAGTTTTTCGACTGTTTTATACTTCGATTTTTTAATTTTTCAACTTTTCGATTTTCTAACTTTTCAGTTTTTGTATGCAGAGGGTTAGTTTTGAGGGGAAACAATCTGAAGATATCCCTATCAAGTTAGGCATTCGTCAAGGATCTATACTCGGGCCGCTGTTATTCATTATTTTCACAAATGACTTTGCATCGCATTTGAAAAATATAAATTTGCCCAAAGAACAAGGGATCTGTATTGAAAAAAAAAGCATGAGATATACTAAAGGATGTCGCGTACATTTATAAAACGATCACATTTCCGCTAATGCGTGTTTCTTTTTCCTCAACAGCTGGCTAACGCCGTTTCCGCCGCCCAGCAGGCCGCCGTCCAGCAGGCGAAGCAGGCCGAGGCGATAAACCATGCCGCCATGATGCAGAGGTTTCCTGTGCGAGTTTCCGGTCCTCCGATCACGATGGCCCTGCCAGGCGGTCCAGTGATGGCCCCCATGCGACACACGATGATCCCGGGTCCGCCTACTTTGATCGGAGGACACTTGATGCGGCCGCCTCCCATCAGCATGCCCCCAGGTATGTGAGGTAGTTGTAAAAACAACTATCATACCGACACACAGTTATGAACGATACTTGAAAAACATACAATAAAAATGAAAAACTAAAAATAAGATTCAATCTCGATTAATAAATCTCGTTGTTGTGGAAGAGTTGTAAGGAGACTGTTAAAGACTGTTTAAACGGACGAAAGATACGAAAAGGCGTCGCTAGTATGTCTAGGAGATAATTCTGTTTTGTAAAGTTTACGACAGGGATTAGTTTTTTATATCTAGAGCTTGTCAGCTTTAGGGGTCGTTTCTGTCAGTTTAATTGGTTATTTAATTTAGCGAGATGTAATCAAGCGACGGTTTTGGCTGATGTGTCATCATAACGATTTGCGGCGAAATGGGGTTTATAGGTCGGTAGTAGGTGATAGGTAGTGTAGATTTGACAGTTTTTTTTATTTTTGTTTTTTTAAAAATAATTTTTTTCAGACTATTACCGAACACGATTTTGAAATGAGAAATGTTTCAAAACAACGTGCCAATGTTACTAATACCGGAGGATGAATCACGTTGACAAAATTCATATACTTAAGTTTTTTTTAGCGTAGTAAATATTTTTCATATTTTTTTAGTGTTGTTTACATTTTTGTATGGGTCAATAAATGCACACTTTGATAGATCGCAGTGGTTTTTAATACCTTATTATTTTCTTCACGATTATGATTTCTTGTGTGACGCGGGTTATGATGAACACTCGCCCTGCTTTTACATCTCGTACTTAAATAGTCAACGTTTCTCTCAGAATTGTATTCAATGTTAGACCTTGCGTTATACTTGGAAATTAGTTTTCTAAATTGTATAAGAGCATCGTTTCGTTCTAGTTTTAGATGATTTTTGTGTATAGTTTTTTACTTACTGATTTTCCCCACCACAGTGAACTGTATCAGTATTATCGCTGTTGTATCAAAAAAAAGTCACCGAATAAATTAAGAATGACAATGGCATTGTAATTTAATACTGAGTGTACTTGTAATAAACGGATGTGTTGTGACAATCTTCCTATACATATCGAAGACGAAACGAGTTGGGGGCATTTCGACACTGGTCCCAGGTATTAAAACTCACGCACTCTGTGTTGGCATGCCTGCATTATATATCTCTGTCACTCGCTTAGTTTCCAGTGGTTTTTACTGTCATTGATTGATTATTGATTGCATCATCATCTGACTGCGTATTATAATTATACATCGTGTAACTATTTTAAATCACTATTCACCAGTACGTGTTTGAATAATGTCATTTCTTTGTCATTGATATTCGCGCGTCTTTGTTGAAAGCTGGAAAGCGCACTTCGCCTGCCCGAAAGAGAGAGAAAGAGCGAAAACTTAGACGGAGACAACACACTCATACATTAAAACCGCATTAAACCATATTTTAAATGTTAAAATTGGTATACATACTTTTTTTTAAATGTATTATATTTTTTCATTTAGTGTGGCGAAAATGTATATTATGAAAAAATTATACAAGGTGTTTGAGCTAAAACTTAATACCGTATGTACAGACAGTAGGCTAAATTGTTGCTGTAAACATAGTATAATAAATAAACAGAAAATAAAATATACAGCAACAATTTAGTTTGTGTCAATTTTATACAGAGCTGTCATAAATGTTTACACGCCACGTGACCAAACATGTAGACAATCAGCGTCTTGGAGCAAACCGTCACAGATGTGTCCATTAATTAGTAACATCGCATGTGCCATAAATTGCAATTTAGTTAGTAGTCAACCAGTTTTCACACAGGTGTTAGTTAGAAGTGAATAACTGGTCACGTGGTTTACATTCATTTATGATGGCGCCATATTTCTTTTTTGAAGTTAAAAATTTGTGTGTAAATTGACAAAAATAGTTTTATTTTTTTTCATGTTTTCTGGACTTTTAGAGTACGAAACAATAGGTCTCCCGTTTCCATCTGTCTCTGTGTCGACTGTCTAGATTTTTATTAGGTAGATAATCTCTGAAACTACCGGACCGATTGTTGTTAAATTTTAGATGTATGTTGCGAATATAGTGTATATGGTAAATCGTTAATGAAAATTTATCCGTTTATGCCCGATGACGTCATCGTGATTTAATCAATACCTAGTTCTATCTTTTCACATGAAACCAATTTTTACTTCCCAAGCGAAATTTAAGTAATAAATAGGGTACATGAGGCGCTTGACTACTCTCATGTTTTCTCCACGTTTCATGCTACGTATAATACCAAACAATAGGTACCCCGTTTCCGTCTGACTAATGTCTGTCAATTGTTGTCAGATTTTATATGTATGTTCGGAATATCGTGTATATGGTAAAATGTTAACCAAAACGTGTCTAATCTAATTTATCCGTTTATTCCGCTCCCAAAAATTGATGAAAAATTTAATAAGATAACAACACTTCTGCACTTGCGGTTTATGAATCCGCTTGCAGTTTTTCCCCTTGATATTAATATTTTTTTACTTTATGGAGGCTAATGTTATAAAATTATGTGCAATTTTGTTAGAGTTCATATGCTGCTAATATCTATAAAATTTTTGAAATTTCGTAACACGTACTTTTACGTTTTCTCCCGTTTCGGTCTGTCTGTCTGTCTGTCTGTCTGTCTGTCTGTATGTCTGTATATCTGTCTGTCTGTATGTCTGTCTGTCTGTTTATGTCGTCTGTCCGGATTTTTATTAGGTAATCTCCGAAAGTACTGGGCCGATTGATGTCAAATTTTGTATTTATAATAGGAATACCATGTAGATGGTAAAACGCTAACGAAAATTTGTCTATCTCCACCAATAACGTGATGACATCACTTCAAAATTGTACATAGTAAATGGGTTCTAAATGGTATAAATTCCTAGTCCTACACATGTAGTTTATGACTCTGTGTTGATTTTTTATTCGAAACATCCAGATTTTTGGAAAAAAATTAAAATTATAAAACATTTAGCAAATTAATTTTGAATCTGCAAAACCAAATGGTTTCAAATCTTGTAGATATATTTGCTTATCCCTTCCAAAAAATGGATGACGTCAGCTTAAAATTTCGCCGAATAAATCTTATCTACAATATCCAAAATATTATTTATGAATCCAATCATATTTGCTTATACAGGGTGACTCAAAAAAAAATTAATGGAGCGTGAATTTATTTTATTGATTTAATAAGGAACTGCAAAACCGAATGCTTTGAAGGCTTGGAGATATTTTAAAGTTGTCATAAGCATGGTAAATTTTTGATCAAAATGTATTTGCTCATCCCCCCTAAAAATCACCTCAAATTTTTGCTGAATAAATACTGTCTTAAATGTGCAACATATGATAAGTCTATCACTGCATTAATATTTTTTAGATTTGATTATACAGGGTGCCTCAAAAAAATTAATGACTAAGTCAATTTATTTTAATGATTAAACCAAAAATTGCAAAAGTGAATACTCTGAAATCTTGCAGACGTTTTGAAGTTATTATAAGCATGGTAGTTTTTAATCAAAATGTATCTGTTTATCAACCTCAAAATATTGATGACGTCATTTGAAAATTTTGACAAATAACTCCTAGTCCATAATGATCAAAATTGATCAGTCTATACTTGTAATTTATCACTGCATTCGTACTTTTTAGATTTTATTGTACAGGTGACTCAAAAAAGTTAATAAATCAGTCAGTTTATTTTATTGTATAAACCAAGAATTGCAAAACTGAATACTTTGCCCTGCAAAAATGTTGTTGACGTCATCACAAAATTGTGTAAAAAAAACTCAATTCGAAAATGCTGGATACGTTTCATTGTACTGAGGGAAGTTCTGTCGAAACAATTGTCGACAATGTTTTTTAAACTTTTCTAAAAATGTATAATACTGCCAATGAAAATAAATAGAACTGCTGAATTTAAAGGTCAAGAAATGAGTTTATTTTTTAAAACGACTGATTGCGAAATATACAGGGTGATTAAAAATGGCGCACTGACTCTATGGCACGTTGTTAAGGTCTGTTTATCAACAAAGAAAAAATGGTTTAAAAAGTCCTTGGACCCAAATGTAGACGACAGAGGCTTTCAAAGTTTAATTTTTGTTTTAGATGTTTGATCATATTTTAATTGGGTATATGAAATCGATAGGTTTTTTATTATTCAAAATAATTTTCATGTCCTTATTTACAGTTTTCTTCATTTTATAGTACTACAAAACACGTAACAATTGTCCAGAGTGAATCTGACAACAGTGGCGAATTTTTCACCTTTTCTAATCCATTTATCTAAATCGATATTTTGTTTTTCAAAAGTCGACGTCTAATTAACGCAAGAAATTTTTTAATAATTTTTCTCGAACTAGACTTGCGAACTTAATAACGTAGCATCGGGTTAGTGCACCATGTTTGAATCACCCTGTATATATCTTTTTTTGAGTTTACACGTTGTTCAGCATCACAGTAGTGAGTATAAAATGGTTAGCAAAAAAAATAAATGATTTAAATAAAAATAATAAGAATTGAAACATTGTTTTGGTGTAGACTAAAACTGAGTTTAATGATAATTTGAGTAGTGCACCCACTGATTTGTTCCGCTTCTTTCGAAGTGTGTAACTGCAGTAAGACCAAACAAAATTATTATTGGCGTACACGTAGTTTTTTTTAATCAAAGGCATATTATAAGTTTTTTCCCCAAATACCGAAATCACAAAATATTTATTAACGCGTTTCGCCAACAAAGTTGGCATTATCTAGGCAGAACTAAACTAAAGTGGATTTACAACCAAACGCTTATTTATACCCTAATTAGGACTCCCTCCCCACACACATTTTTTGTATATATTTTGAAGTATAATTTTCATATGCTGTGCTCATATGACAAGCATTTAACATAAAAAAATACATATAATGCTAGTTGCATAACCTAAAAGATCGTGAAAAAATAAAATGTTTTTGTGGATAAACTGTGTCAGATAAGAAATTGGAACATTAGTTAATTTATCCATTATAGGTCTTGAAAATTATTTTAATTCAATTTTTTATTGTTGTTTTGAATCCAAACGTACTTCTTTCTTCATTATTAAAAAAAGTTCATGTAAGATTGTTTTTTTGTTTTTTTTGTTTTCTGGAAATATGATTTATTATAAGTATTAAAGTTTGTTTGACGAGTGACAAAAAAATTCGAGCAGACGAAAAAAGGAAATTTTGTGTTTGCAACTTTTAATCATCATCGAAAGCCGAAATATTTTTTTTAACGAGCAGTAGAGAAATTAGAAGCACTAGCAGTTTTTGCATTTAAGAGCGCACAATGAACTGGAGCATTTTGTAAATGTGATAGCAGTGTTGTGAATTTTCATGTTCCGATTTTTTGAGACCATTTCATTTCGCATGTTTTTGAAAAATGAAAATTGAACACTGTTTAAGAGAATCTCTCGTCGGGTCGATCAGCTTTCAGCAAAGACCGGTGTGGGTACAGTTTGTCTTAGATTTGTTTTCGTCCGGCGGTGACCACTCTTTGGTTTTCTGTAGTTCTTTTCAATTAGCTATGTGTCATATGCTAGGCTTTAGTAATTTTTGTTTTGGCCGAAGGTAAGTATTTTATTTTTTTGTTGGTTTTATTTATCCGTAATTAACCTGAACTGAGTGTATGATAGAGAAATGGCAGTCTTCAAACTAGCTCATCGAGCTCAATGATGAAAATCGATTTATGTAAAACTCGTTGTTTGTCACAGGGATGATCGGAGTACCGCCCGGGATGGTATATGGTGCTCACATGTTTCCAGCCGCACCTGTGCTGACACCTATGATGCAACCAAGGTTCAGATGATCTCCGATATACCTCGTCTATCACCCGCAAGTCTAATCTTTTTCTTTTATTTTTCGTTCAACTTTTAAGTTTAACTGCATGCAATGGATTCCTGCGATCGTGATTTAATATTGACACTGTTTTATTTTCGACAGGTTTTAAAACAAACGTTAAATTACCTGCCAAAACGGTATGTAAAAACTTTTTATTTTGTTGATAATAGAGGTTAACGCGCCACTTGAAAGGTTAGTGTATTTAAGTTACATTGGTTAGAGCACGATTTTAAGTTTTCGGCTTGGGTGTCGGCCATGGCGTCGTCTGACGTCACACCGACACTGGGTTGGATTTGCCTGTCTCGATAAAGTTTCTGCTGAAGCAGGGTATTGCTTCAACACACACTTTATGTGCCAGAGGCACGTCAGGTTTGTACAAAAACTTTGAAATTTTTATTTATTTATTTATTCCGAAGGTAAGCAGGTTTTCAACTATTTTCATTGTAAATATAAGACGATCCATGTAAATTTCTGTTGAACGTTAAAGTTTTATCGAGTTATTTAAAATTTTCATTGCTTGGCTACGATGTTAAAGGTAGGTTCACTTAGAACACAGCTGACACGCTAACTTTAACTGTTTAGGTAGTTGCATCGTAAATTAACTTAAAAGCAGAGATAATGTTAAAGTGTTTCTCGAGACGTCGTTGTATATTTTATGTCAAAAGGTACGGCATCACTATTTTCCTCACTGGTGTATGGTGTAAATGGGAAGAAAATTCATATATTTAACGTACGACCCTTCCCCGTCTTTAAGTATATGAATTTTCTCAACAGGGATCTTGTAGAGGCAGGCGATTGAAATGTCACAGCTTACGCTGTTGGAGTGTCCGACTCTCTATCTTACCACGAATCACGACCGACATTGTTTTTATTACTTCCTTTTTCTTTGTTTTTTTAATTTCCTTCCGCGTTTTTTCTTGTTGAACTTGGTCTTGGCGCAGTCGGTAAGATAGGTGATCGAGAGATCACAGCGTTTTTTCTATTTCATGTAATTGTTTTGGTCGCTGTTGGGTCGACATTCCCCTGCCGAAGTATGTGGCTTGACAGGCGATTGTTTTGGCTTTGCACCAATTCAATCACAGGTTTTCAACCTGTTGGACCAGATGAACCACTCCTGTGTTAAACAGTGCAATTGTTCTTATAGATTATGAGGGTTTGGTTCGATGGACCCCTGTTCTCACGCTGTCAATGTACTTTTATGTAGTAGTTTATATCTATCATTGTATTGTATAAGTTGTTTTTATAAATAAAGTTTATTTGGAAAGATTATGACTCTTCATTGCACTACCTGGATTTTCTGCAAGGTAAATGTTAAGGTTGGTAACTGTTAGTGACTTGCACGGTCGGAAATGTGTCACGTTTGTGAATGAAACGCAAGGGAAATTCGTTTATTGTAAAGTAGAGTGTTGAATCGTGTACATTGTGGCCCGTTTACTGAACAGATGGATTGATCACGTGCGAGCATCCAAAATATTTCTTATAAATAATATTAGATCAATTGTCCACAGCGTTGTCTGTATATCACAATCATTCGTTTTAAAATTTTGATGAAAACTGCGTTACGAAGTTTCCAATATTGATTTTTAAAGATACGCAAAGAAAAATTTCACCGACATGTTAAAAAGATGATGAGGGACAAGTTATATTTAAAATTTCATAACAATAAGTCTGTTAATAACAGAGATATTACAATCTGAAAATACATTGAAAATTCCATGAGTCAAACGTAGGGACACTCCTTAAATTTTTAAATATTAAAAAGCAGTGTGAAAATGGTTGTCCAATTCAATGTCAATATCCCTCGACCAATAATGTTAGAGTTTTAAAAGCTCATCCCCTTTTCAGCTCCATCTGTTCGGTAAACGGAGTAGAGTTAAAAAAACAAAATGTAACACCTAGGTAAGGTGCGGATTATGAAAAACGCTGTTTAATATGTTTAGTATTTTACTAAAATTTAAACAAAAAAAAATCTCCAAGTGCAAAGTTTACGAAATATAAATAGAATGTGTTATTCACTTTTTCTGTGAGGGATATTGCATTCCTGTTTCATCGTTTCCCGTGCTTTTCAACATGGTTTAGTGCAACAGCAAAATTTGCGTCCCACGCTTATGCGATAGGTGCTAAATCGGGTAATCTAGCTGGTGCTGCCTAAGTGGTTTGACTCTGCCACGGAAACCTTTTAGTAACTACAGTGATAGTGACTGCAGTTTTTTTTTGGAAAAATGTTTTCGGAAAGTCTAACGTTGGGTACAAACGAATACCAGAGGCCCGATAGTTTAGATGACATGTCTTACCAGACTCAGAGTTGGCTTTTATCCAGAATGATTTTGGACTAACGACCAAACGGAGCTTGCTACTAAAGACAATTGACTTCTCGTCACCCTTTGTCCCAGTTCGGTCTTTCCTTTCAAGGGTTAATATCCCGATGTGAAGGACGGTCTGTAGAAGCTCTTGCTTAATCGACCCAAAACAACGCAGAAGTTTGAAATCGACCTTTTATAGCGTAACATACCAAAAGATTTTGTCGTTAGATGTAGATCTCGCTTTGTACACCGCACGTTGTGATTTTAAATTGTCTGATGTCAGCACTATAGACTAAGAACAACAAAGGTTTGAACATAAATCCTTGAAGTACTTGAAGGTAAGCGAAGAAAAATGTTGCCTCGGTGGGAATCGAACTCCACGCCTTCCGCTTGCCGGGCACGTATCCTGACCACTAGACACGAGGCCACTTATCTTTCTCCGCTTACCGATGGGTTATTGTCAACATTTTTTGACATAAACGGCCTGCACTGAGTCGATATTCGGTATCAAACCACGTGTTTTCTAACCACAAGGAACGATACGTTGGTTTTCAGGTGTTGACCACGTGCTTTTATCAATAAATCTATCGAGCGTTTCTTGAATAGTAGCTCTGTTTCTAACATGTTTCGTTTTCATTTCTTTTTTGTCACCAAGCTAGGGATTTCCCCGAAATCACGGAATGTCGCAGCAGAAAAGTTCATAAAGAATTGTCGGGGTTTTTTCGAGCTTGTCTATTTGAGATATATCGTGATATTGATACTACTTTTTATAAAATTAGATTGGTTTACATTCGCGTCGTAGAGTGTTAAATGTCGTAAAAGCCGCTTTCAGTTGTGATAACTCAAATATTTCGCCAAAATTGAGTCTTGCGCACAAAATTCGGAAATCGCGAAAAATTTGAAGTGGCTATGAATTGTGGTCGCCAACAAAATGTAACCCTACGTTATGTTTTGAAATGGCGGAGTGCGTTCTAGTGCAAAGTGGTGAACCGCAAAAGTGGAAAAGTGACCTTGTATTAACAACACAAACATGTAGTTCTTTTCAAATGCAAGATTACAATTTCATTTTATTTCAAAAACGTGTGTTAAATACGATCGAAATCACACTTCGCTGTGAGAGGAGTATCCGAGAATAAATATTTTAAAATTCCCAAATGAGAATTTATTAAATTTAAATAAAGACTTAGGAAAAACCATCCATCTCTTTGGACATGTCGCAATTAAATATTATAAATATTGCATATATCGCTTGCATCGTAATGCTAATTTGTTCGTTATGTTACAAGAAAATAAAAATCAAATTTCTAGAGATTTCGAGAAATAAAGTAACAGTTTTATCCCATTACTGATCCCAACGCTAGTCTAAACAATAAATGACGCAATGTATGGAATTTACGACTCGCGTCGCAATGCATAAAATGGATGAATTGTTAATTAATATCGTCGTGATCTTTTACTTACAAATGGGGACACTACACAATTAACCTTTTTAAATTCAAATCTTGGTCAACAGATCCGGATTCGTTAACGTTGCAGTTCATACAGACTCTGGTACGGAAAAAGTATACTGGCACTAGAGATATATTGGTTTATGACTGTTATTTTAAACAAGGATTCGTGGTCCGTGGGATTTTACACTATCAGTGCTGCTTAACCGAATTCTGGAAAATCCTCTCTGCAAATAATTTTTCGGTGAGATCAATAGAATTCTTATAATTTTAGCAAGAACTGTACCAATTATGGCATCTGGTATGACACACTGTATTTGTGTAGGTAAAGGAATTTCCGCACTGCTTAGCATTTTGGAGGCGGAGACGATAACCTGCGTTAATGTAGTGTGTCAAACATAAACATACCCGTTTACAACACCTTGCCAAAATTAAAAGAATTCTACTATAGTAACGTTACCTAGTTTGGAGGATGATTATTAACATTCTCCACAACGTAAGTAACAATGTGGGAAGATACTTGGTTTCAGTTGTTTGTTTCGTGTTGCTTTAATTATATTTTAATAGTTTCTGGTAGTGGAAATTTGACAACATCGTTTTTTTTTCGACTTTTATGTGTTTTTCTTTTTGTGCTTCATTAATTGCACCGGTTGTATTCTCAGATTCATATTTAGAACGTTTTCCCTGAATTGCAACGATTTTTAGCATTCTTTTATTCATTACCATCTGCAACGGACCGTGAACTTGAAACTAACTGAAGGTTAATTTACTTATGATCCAGTCATTTTCGGTATGCAGTTGGAGTGGAGTTGTTCGCCGGAATAATTTGATCATTACACACTACAATGTCGACCTTTTGAACCCGTTTTTTTGATATTTATGGGTTTTCCTTGGCGTTGCTGTTTGGGTATTTTATTTATTTTTTAATGGTTTAAAGACACCTGCAGTAAATGTCACCTTGTTTTGGGAATAATATTTTACCACTACTTGAATTCCTTCTTTCAAACTTTCACCAAAAAAAGTTCGTCCATAATTTTAAAGCACTTTTTAACCCACTTTTTAAGTTTGTGAATCTTTGGATTTTTGAATGATAAAATATTTAATAATGAGGTGATACAGTCAGTTCTTGAAGCTTCTGAATTTATTTTGTATTTTAGTACATAGTTTAGTAATTTATATGAAAATTATAAAAAAATATCTCTAAATAAACGTACTTTAATGTTTCGGGATCAAGAGTCTTATCAACAGGTAATAAAATTAGTGAAAGTTCAGTGTAATTAATTTTTTCCCACCATGACGAGTTAAGCTGAGTGCTGTGGCTCCCTCTACAGCTGGGATTATGCGTGAAGTCAACAGTCTGTGGTACGTATTGAAGATTTTTAGATGTGGGTTTTAGGATCTGCATATGATTATTTAGTTTAACGGACTTGACTTCTCAGATATGATCTTATTTAGGCAGAACTTCTGCTTCTTTGTACCACAACTAATACCGTACCTTAAAACGAATTTCGCAATGAAATTGATTTCACAATCTTTTGCTATTAATTTATTGGATAACCCTCAAATTTTTGTTATTGTTCTACTAAGATTTCTATATGATACTGTGATAACCCAAACATCCCGCCTTGAATTGACATGTGAAAAAAAATTGAAAGCCCGCGAAAAATTCAAAAATTTGGCCTTGGCTGTGATCGCCACACAATGGAACTCTACATAAAATTGTACACAACTTATTACGGGCGTGTGGCGGCAAATTTAAAATTATGGGAGTCAACAAGAGAACAAAATTTTAATAAAAACTGTATGCAGCGACAGCGGCACTAGAGCGCTATAAGAGTGTGGCGATCGAACTATATCAATTTCATTCTAGAACACAGCAAAATTATCCATAGAGGGCGTTGTAGCATGAGCGGAGTTTGGGGCTCCTGGTCGTGGCTGTCTTCCTACTCACGACGGTGATTCTATTCTATTCTATCGCAAGCACTGTCGCCTAGCACCCTTCTATCACGAAGAAACGTGCCTGCACGAGGAGGCCATCACGGTAGCAAACTCGTAAACTATTCTAGGCCTTTATTCTTTGTGCAGACGGCGCGAGCGCCAGCTCGACAAGGAACCGCGCACTCCGCTTCCGCCACGTGTTATTGTGTTATTTACCTTAGTTTCATTTAAGTGTTCAATTTCTATAACTCTGATATCAACTACAATCGAACAAGCGTTAAAGTTTCAAAAAGAGCAATAAACAACATTTGAATTCGCCATACACTCTTGTGAAATTTTTAAACAGCAAAGAATTCTTATTTGAGATTAAGATTGGACATCAGACAATTCATATGATAGAAACGTTAATCAAAATATTTACGTGGTCAAAAGAAAAACTAGCAAATATTAAGGAATGTTCATTTTATAAAGCGGACACTGAAAAATTGCTACTAATTCGAGTACTTTGGGCTAATTTAATTTTTTTTTTTATAAACATGTTTAACAATGTTATATGAAACAATTATTCTTATTCTCT